CTTGATGGAGCGCGGGGCCAAGGTTGCTACCCAGTCCCTAGCCTCCCTCCTGAGCGTGGGGGGAAAGGATCAGCACATCACTGTGTCCGGGGCGGCATAAAGTCTCATCAGATCCACGAAGGTTCGTAGATGGTCAAGTGGGTCCGTGACTCTATCATAGGCTTCAATCATGGGCTGTTTGAAGCCTTTAGGCAAAGGGACTGCCATGATTTCTGGGGCGAACGGGTCTTCCTCCAAAACCATCTGTCTCCGCCTATCCTTTCTCTTGGATAACGCATCGTCTATCTTCTGGGACATGATTTCTTCCATCTTTCGTTTCAAGTCTACCATGGTTTGCGGGGGCTGTTGAGCTACAGTCATTGGGGCTCCCGCGTCTCCCGCTCCCCACTGAGAGATGGGTGGGACAACCGCGGGTGGCGCTTGAGGCGGTTGTTGATTCGTCACTTCCGTCGGGCTTAAATGAGGAATGGCGGTTCTCTGTGACTGGTCTTGTAAGAGCACCATCATTGCTGCCAACTGTTTTCCAAAGCGCTGAATTGACTCTGCGTCACATACTGCGGGGGCGGCGGTGGTTCACGACCCCTTGCAACTAACTCCGACTCCGTCTCCGCCGTGTTCCCAACCAGGCGAGTATCACTTCTTGTTCGTCTTCTTGACATGGCTTTTTAGTTCAAATGAATTTTTCCCACAGACGGCGCCAATGAAAGGGCGGTGATTCGTCACCCTTCTGTTAGCCTGGTAATGTTTGGCGTTTTCACCACTCCGTCAAGTATGCAAGACCTGAAAAATGAAGGCGGGGCTTTCTCTCCCGTTTTACCTTCGGCGTGAGAATTAGTTTTTAGACTTGGAAAGAATATATTTGAAATTCAGATGGCTAAAACGAGAATGAGAGAGAGAGAAAAAAAAATCCCTTACTTGTGTCACATCCGGGAGTATTTATAGATATTAGGCACTAGGTAATCGCTGGGCGGTTGTGGTGCTACGTGTCCCACGATAGTATTCCCACTACATCTACGTTCTGAGTGATGAGTCCTTAACTTCCCGCCTGAAGGTTGTACCTGTATCAGCGGCCATGGAACTTGGTCAATTCATTAAATGTTTTATGGCTGAGTGTTTGGACAAGGAATATCATTCCCGTTGAGGACTTCGCTTAGTGGTAGAATGATTTCTAGGGATAGTGGTAGAGCGCCCTTTGGGGGTTGTAGTAGAGCGCCTCCCGGACGTAGCGGTAAAATGCCTTCTAGGAGTTGTGGTAGAGCGCTCCCTGGACGTAGTGGTAGAGCGCTTCCTGGGTGTAGTGGTAGAAAGCCCTATGGGGGTCGATGGCCTTGCATCGGTGTGCTGTGGTCTGCTTTGCTTGTCTTTGAGGGTGGCTACTCCTACCAACCTATATCAGTATATATGGCAAGCATCTCCCGACAACCTTAAATGAAACACTTCCAATAATTCCCTAGACAATGAAATTACTATCTTACCCTCACTCCGTCGCATATTTTTGCACTCTGTTCGCATTTCCCTTCGGACACCCTCAAGGCCAACATAGTCATTTGAACAAAAGCCACATCCATCTTCACCGTAAAGGCATCGAGGTTTATCTGATACGCCGTCGTTTTGTCGTCTCTGTCATCCACCTGATATTTTTTCAATTTATCTCTATTGCGTTTCGTTCATTTTTCGAGTTGATTTGGATTTCTATATATGTATCTATAAACGTGTGTCGCGCATTTATATTCAGTTGAATAAAGGAATCGAAATGCTCTTGAAACCCTACTTTATTAAGGTAAAGATGAAATGTTGAGTTGTATTTTGTAGAAAGGATCGAAATTTTTATCTGATCTTTTAATATATACATATACCTGAATATAATTACAATGGCGGATCAAGAAGAGGAAGATTTGAAGATGGCGTTGAGAATGAGTATGCAGCAGCACGAGTCTCCGGAGCCGAAGAGGAGCAAACCGGGGGATGACACCAGAGAAGTGCTGGAGGAGTCGCTGGAAGTGAAGAATCGGCTATTGCAGCGGGAATTGATGGCTGCTGCAGCGGAGAAGAGGATGACAGCAACCAAAAGCTCTGCGGTATCTGTTCTGAAGAGCGTGGAGAGTGTAAAGGACGTGAAAATTAGCGGTTCTGGAGATGAGGGAAAGGGTAAGAGTGTTAAGTTGGAGAAATGCAAGGACAAGGGTGGAAATTTGGGGACAGAGTTGTCCTCGGTGGAGGCTCACCATCTATTTGAGATGATATTTGGGAGTGAAGTTAGTAAAGATGTTCTTGCACAGTGGAGTAATCAGGGCATTAGGTAAAATATTTAAATGCAAAGTTTTACCTCTGAGAATATATGCTTGGTAATGGCTTTCTGCTATAGTGAAGTGACCTATTGATGATTTGTATAAGAGTATTTATTTAAAGTAACTGATAAAACGTTAAAATTTTGTAAATGAGATATGGTGTCTGAAGAAAAGGAGTGGAAATAAATTGCTATGCTTTCCAGTAACCAAAACATGGTTTTAGAAACATGGCTATAGAGATTCGTGTAAATGGGTTCTTGTCTGAGGTTCAGTTTTAACATTGTTGGGAACAACATAGTATTGTTTGTTGTATCTCATTTGCAGATGATATTGCCGTTGTATTTCCTCATTAATTACTAGCCATTACTCACCTCCTTTTATAATATGGTAATGCCGTAAATCTGAGATCTTTAGCTGCGAGCTTGGGTCCGTGTCTTGAAATTCAAGAGTTAAATACAATTTGGCATTGTCGTCAATCAATTTTGTAAGTTAATAATTGAAAAGTGCACACGTAAGTAATCAACTAACTTTTCTACTTCGAACAGAATGCTTATATTGATGTGCTAAACTGGAAAGTTTTGTTATTTAGCATAAGCATGATTAGTGTGGATAGTAGCTTGGTGATTTTAGAACTCTCAAATTAGTAGGGGGCTCAAGACCATTAATTGGTAGGGGAGTAAATCTCTTGAATGTGTAGGTGGACCTCATAAAAAATTTGATGGAAACATAGCTCTTTCAAATCAGTAGGAAGACTCATAACCATTATTTGAGAGAGGCGTAAATCTCTCACATGATTAGGTGGATATCAAAACCATAAATTCATAGAGGTGTAAATCTCTCCACATTGTAGGTGGACCTCAAAACCAAAACTAGAGACACCGATCTCTCAAATTAGTAGGGGACTCAATACCATTGATTGGTAGGGGGATAAATCTCTCAGATTTGTAGATAAACTCTTAACCAATGATAGGGGTGTAATATTCTCACATGAGTTGGTGGATATAAAACAATTAATTCATATAGGTGTAGATCTCGTCATTGTAGGTGGACCTCAGAACCAAAAATTGATAGAGGCATATATTCCTCAAATTAGTATGTGGCCTCATGACCATTAATAGGTAGGGTCGTAGGGCCGTAAATCTCTCACACAAGTAGATGGACCTCAAAGCCAAATTGATATGAGGCATAGATATCTCACGGTGGGGGAATTAAAAGCCATTAATTGGTAGGGCGCAAAACTTCACATATGTAGGTGAACCTTAAAACCAAAAAATTGATAGAGGCAGAGACCTCTCAAATTAGTATTGGGACTCAAACCATTAATTGGTGGGTGATAAATCTCTCAAATAAGTAGGTGGACCTCAAAACTATAAATTGGTAGGCGTAAATCTTTCGACTGAGTAGGTGGACATCAGAACTCAATATTGATAGAGGTGTAGATCTTTAAATGAGTAGGTGTTTCACAAAATTATAAATGGATGTAGGCGAAAATCTCTCAACTGAGAAGGGGGTGGGGGTGGTTCAAAACCCAATATTGATAGAATTAGTAGAGGCGTAAATCTTTCACACGTGAAGGTGGACCTGAGAACCAAAAATTGATAGAAAAGGGGGTATTTGAAGAGAATATTGAAATCATCTTTATTTTCTGGGTAAACATGTTTGGAGGTCCTTTCTTATTCTTAACAGTTGACATATAGTATTAACAAGCTTTCTAATAACAGCATTTGGAAAAAGTATCATTCAAATAATGGCTTTAACTTTCTAAGGTTGAAATATTAACTTTCATGGACATCTTAAATGGTGATGGAATAATGATATATAGTGAGGTGTGACAATTGGACAAAATAAATGTTTAAAATTTCCATTGAAAATGCACTCATCAGATGGTAGATTTTACTACAATCTTCAAATGCTCCCCATATGTCATAATATTTATTCTCGATTGGGTTGTTTAATGTTAGAATCGAAACATTTGAACATTTATGTTAGTGAGATTGTTTACAAGCAGAGGTAAGTTCATCACAGATCTTATGACTTGTATAGACTTGATTATAATCATTGTTGCGGTATTGATGCTGTGAAAATTCACAACAATGTAGTAGTTGGTCTTTCTGTGAGCACATAATTCATGCCTGGTTGTGCAAGCTTGCAATTATGGATTAATGCGTTTACATATGCACATCACGGTTGACATTATGTCTTTATAGTACCTCAGTTATCGGCAAAGTTCATTATTCTGTTTCTATGAGTTCATTTGCCTCCTTGTTTCTTCTGTTGTACAAGTAAGCTTGTCCATATGTTTCTAATGCATTGGGAAAATAACTTTCCTTCTAGGTTTAGCCCTGATCCAGAAACATCTATGGGGCTCGTGCAGCATGAAGGCGGGCCTTGTGGTGTGTTAGCAGCCATACAAGTAATAGTTTGATTTCTTACTTTCCCACCAAATTCAATCTTAACTATACAAGATTTAGCGTATAAGTGCTTGTGTTGTATTTACATGTTTGCTTATTCTGGAATAACACTCTATTGTTTCTGAGTATGTTTAAAGAAAACAACGTGCTGCAGCTATGCATGAAAGGAGATATGGTTCAGTTTAACTACAATTCACTTGGCCAACATTGAACAATTATATGTGGCTCATCCTTCAAGATTGATTTCAAGTCGAAATTGATTTCTTGAATGGCGAAATCACTACTGGAACTAACTCAATTGAATTTTATGTCAAGATGAATCACCTGTGAAGCTTTAGCAGTAGTGAATCACGATAGCGTAGCTCCTTGTGTCGATATTGAGAATTTGATTCCTCAAGTTACACGCAATAATATAGGGGTTTAGTCCTTGGCAAAAATTTATACTTTTAAATTTGTTTTAGCTTTCCAGCATAAAGGATTTTCATTTGGAATTGGAAATGGACAAGGTAAAATAAGAAAGATTAGAACCTCCAAATCTCCTATGTTGAACATGCCAACTATATTGAGAGTTAAGATCTTCTAAGTTTTGGATTCAATATATCTAGTTTTCCTCAGACATCTTCCTATATTGTCTAGCATTTATTAACATTGGTAGTTGGACTATTTAAAAACCTCATTTCTTTTGAGTCATGAATTTTATGTTGGTAAATGTGGATTTTGATTATTTTCTGTAAACTATTTATCGTTGTCCATTTTACCTTTCGTAGCTTTATATCCAGTATTTAGTCCAACTTTGGAACTTTGCTTTCTGAAAATTCTGTCGTCTGGGTACATTGGATAGTTGAGACCATTTATTTACAACTCAATGCCAAAAGCACGATTATATCTGTTCCACTTTCCTACGTTTTGTTTGTATACACCATCATTCACTTCTTCGGTACCATTCTTTATTTCTTTGGATTGAATGGCAATGAATTTCCAGGAATTTAATATTTGCAAACTACGAATCGAATTAAGGAAGGAGTTGTTTCGATAATGATTTCTAAAGCCACTTACCTACAATACAATGATTGAAAGGAAATCACATATGATCTTTTTTTTTTTTTTAATCGTATAATTTTATTAATCATTAGGATAATACATGGGGGGTGTATTATCAAAATAAACAAGAAAAAAAAACATAAAGTTAGGCAGCCCTACATATGATCTTTACTTATAAAGAATAAAAAACAAGGACGAGAGAATTGAAGAAATCGGATATCTTCTGGGTCTTCTGAGCACAGCGAAATCTGGATCTTTCTATTCATTTGATAAATTTATGTAAATTAAAATGTCGAAATTTCTGCACAAAATATTGCTTTCTAATAATACCATCCGAGTTTCATGTAGGGAACTTTATACCTAACATAAATAACTACTTGGGGTTGTTAATATTCTAAGCCTGAGCTTTGCAATTGATTGCTCAAGATTGGCTTAATTTCTTACAAGCATTAACTCGAGTTCAAACCTTCTCTTGATTACTTAATTTGTCAATCTTAAATGTGCTTTAATCACTGAACCAAAGATAAGAGCAAGACCTCTTATGTTTTCACATAT